GAGGGAATAAAGTAGGTTCTGGATGTAAATTCTGAGGGAATAAAATAATTTCTGAATGTTCTGAGGGAATAAAATAGGTTCTGGATATAGGTTCTGAGGAGATAAAATAAGTTATGGATGTAGATTCTGAGGGAACAAAATAGGTTCTGGATGTAGATTGAGAGAATAAAGTAGGCTCTGGATGGTTTCACGCCATCTTTGACCTTCATAGGTCCCATGCTACATGAAGACACCAATCGTTCAGACCTGTCAGTTGGTCTTTCATTTCTCCTATTGTGGCTTGACTCACTAATTTGATTGCCCCTTTTCTCCAGAACACCAGCCTCATCAATCAAAAGAAGAAGATGGAGGTTGACCTGACCCAGCTTCAATCAGAAGTGGAAGAAGCTGTGCAGGAGTGCAGGAACGCTGAGGAGAAGGCCAAGAAAGCTATCACAGATGTACGTGAGAGTGAGATCATGGACGGAGGTTGACCACGAATGGTCCATAATGACCATTTGATTCTTTCTTCTTAAATCAGGGGGTCTCCAAACTTGACAACTTGTGGACTTATGGACTTCAGTTCTGGGTACTTCCATGCCTGGCTGGGGAATTCTGGGAGTTGAAGTCTACAAGTCTTAAACTTTGGAGACCCCTGATCTAAAAGGAGACACATCTCCAGGTCGTCCTTTGCTTTGGTCCACCACGAGCATCAAAAGAGGACCTGTAATGTTGACATGAATAATTAGAATGTGTATTTAGGACTGATTTCCCAATTAATGCAAAGAGTGAAGCCTGGCGGACATCTTTTTTCTCTCGTCCTCTTGAACGGGGCAGGCGGCCATGATGGCGGAGGAGCTGAAGAAGGAGCAGGACACCAGCGCCCACCTGGAGAGGATGAAGAAGAACATGGAGCAGACCATCAAGGACCTCCAGATGCGTCTGGACGAGGCGGAGCAGCTGGCCCTCAAGGGCGGCAAGAAGCAGCTTCAGAAACTGGAGGCCCGAGTGCGAGAGCTGGAGAACGAGCTGGAAGGGGAGCAGAAACGCAGCGCGGAGAACATCAAAGGGATGCGCAAGTTTGAGAGACGCGTCAAGGAGCTCACCTACCAGGTGAGGAGCTCAGAAAGCACCAAGGAACCTATAGTCTCTTCCACTTCCTGCCCCTCCTTTCTTCCTCCCCTCCTCCTTCCCCTCAATTCCACAAACCCTACTTCCTTCTAGCACTGATGATGTTACCTACAGTGGTGGGATTCAAACAAATTTACTACTGATTCCATGGGGATGGCTTGGTGGGCATGGCAGGGGAAGGATACAGCAAAATCTCCATTCCCTCCCCACCCCATTAACCTGCTTTCCAGCTCCGTTCTCCTGTGCAGGGCAACCAAAGAAGACCCAGCCAATCAGCTGGGACTTGGGAGGCGGAGAATAGATGTGGGCGGGGCCAGTCAGAGGCAGTATTGGCTGGTTCTCCAAACTATTCAAAATTTCCACTGCTGGTTCTCCAGAACTGGTCAGAACCTGCTGAATACCACCTCTTGTTACCTAGTTGGGTCATGAAACATCTGCAAAAAAACAACCAAGTTCAGAAACCACCAAGGATCCCAAGTCCTCCACTTCCTCTTCTTCCCCCTCCTCTTCCTCGCCCTTGTCTCCTCCTCCTCCTCCTTCCCACCTCCTCCTCCTCCATCACCTTTTGCTCTTCCTCCTCCCCGCTTCTCCTCTGCTCCACAAGCCCTACTCCCTTCTAGCACTGATGATATTACCTAGTTGGGTCATGAAACGTCTGCAAGAAAACCACCCAGCTCAGACAGTATCAAGGAACCCACGTTCTTCCTCCTCCTCCTTCTCCTCCCCTTCCTCTCCATAAACCCTACTGTCAGGACTCTGACATGCACCCCCACATTCAAATCATAAGTCTCTAGCCGCACCTAAAAATGATTGATTTATTAGGAGTTGACATGTTGGCATTACCTGGATGTAGCCGACTCTGAGACACATCATTCCTTTCCCCCTTGACCCTGTTCTCCCGCCCCCCACCCCGATGTATATTCTCCAATGGGACACATCCATAGCCAAGAGTCATCAATCAATGCTCTCCAGTAATAATCTTGCATGCCAGAAGCTTCGATTGCCCGAGCAATTATCTGAAGCATTTAAGGAATGCACTGTTTTGCCCCCTCCCATTTGACTGACAACTACAAAAACCAAAGAAGTATTTTTTTTTAGTTGACACCTACCCCTTCTAACACTGATGCTGATACCTAGCTGGTTCATGAGATGCCTGCAAGGAAACATCTCCCCCCCCCCCCCCAAATTCATTTTTATTTTTTGGCAAACCATTTTGATGGCCTTTTGAAACTACACCCATGGGTGATAGGATTCAGACATCCAGCAAAACCTTTTCTCTCAAAGAGAACGAGAGGCGCGTGGATAATTATGGCTCTAGACCTCCGACTACCCCTTCTCCTTTTTTTCCTTCATCTGTAGACCGAAGAGGACAAGAAAAATCTGCTGAGGCTTCAAGACCTGGTAGACAAATTGCAGACCAAGGTGAAGGCTTACAAGAGACAAGCTGAAGAAGCGGTGAGTTTTCCAGCGAAAGCCAGTCCTCGACTTACGGCAGTTCGTTTAGTGACCCGTTCGAAGTTACAACGGGACTGGAGAAAGTGTGACGTTAGGGACGTTATTCATGCTTACGACCACCACCCCATAACCGTGGGATCAAAATTCAGACTCTTGGCCACTGACTCGTATTTATGACAGTTTATATCCTGGGGGGGGGGGTGTCACGTGATCCTTTTGCAACCTACTGATGAGCGAAATCAGCGGGGA